CCCCTCACTCCACCACCGCTGGCCTCAGGGGACGGACACCTTCCTTTCTGCTTTTCTAGTCGCCCACTGTAGAGGAGGAGCAGGGTGCCGAGGACCTCCAGGGGAAGGGGAGCCCCTCTCCAGCTGCTCTGGCACAGAGAGGCAAGCAGGGACAGGAACCGTGTGCCGGCAGTGTCCCCACTGCCCACCAGCAGCGTCCAGCTGTGGGGTGGGATGGCTCAGCCCGGCCAGGACCATAGCGGGAGACAGCAGATTGTCCCCCCCCCGGGCAGGGGGGTGATGGGGAGCCAGACACTGGGCTGCCAGAGCAGAGGAGAGTGGACAGGGCAGGGCGACAGCCTCCACCGCAGCAGCTTCACCCTCCCCACAACCATCCTGGTCCTATGCACAACCCAAACCTGCCCCCTCCCCACCCGGGGCAGCCCTGCTGCCGGGCAGGCGCTTCTGCTGGGGTCCTGCCAGAAAGCCTCCAGTAAAAGCGAACGGCCCCACGCTCAGCAAAGCCAGTAGCATCCAGCCAGCGCGCAGCCCCCCCGGCTCGAGGGCCTGCCACCCCCACGCTGCCCCTTCCACGGGGGGGCACCCTTCCTGGGAACTGCTTTGGCAGCAGAATATTAACTCAAAATAAATAAATTTGTATAAAAGTCAGTGCCGGCCGAGGGAAACGCATCCTTCCTAGGGACCACTGCCTGCAGCCCCCCCAGGCTGAGCCCCCACACCTTCATCCCATACATCCCCGCAGGCACACGCTGCCCTGGTCCTGGAGCCGGAGCCGGCAGCATCCTGCGGGAGGAGAGGGGGGAAGGCAAGGAGGGAGCAGACCGGGGAACAGAGCGGGTGGGAGGAAGAAGAATGGAAAGAAGAAAAAAAAAACCCAACCACATTTCAAAGCATTTTGCCCGAGGGGGGAAGAAGGGAGGGTCCACAAGAACTCCAGTTCAGCCTGAAATTTCGTGCAAAGCCTAAGACAAAAAGAAAACCCTTTAAACAAAGCTAGGCCAAGAAGACTTTCTGCCCAAGCCTGTTCCAAGAGGGTCATGTTTATTAAAGTATAAGCAAAGAAAAATAACCAAGCGCGGCAGCCTCGCAGGGCCGTGCAGCGAGCGCGGCTCCCGAGCAGCGGCGCCAGCCCTCGGCCGAGTCCCAGCGCCAGTGCTGCAGCCTACGGCCTCAGCTTGGCCATGGTGGAGCGGAGCTGGAGCGTCCCCTCTGCCCACGAGCCCGGGTACTGGCGCATCTTCTGCCACAGGTTCAGCTCCTCACCCGTGGAGTCCATCCAGTCCACAGCCTGCCCGTTGCTCATGCCTGGGAGAAAGGATGGACGTGGGCAGAAGTCACTGCCGGAGCAGCCTCCTGCCCGCAGCGAGGCAGCCCCGAGCAGGGCCGCTTGTCCCCAGGGTTTGATGGGACCCCCAGGGCTCCTCACCATTGCCCACCCCCAGACGGACACCCCCGAGGAAGTCGTTGCTAGACAGCGGCTCCCGGTCCCAGACCGTCAGCTCCAGGCAGATGTGCTGCAGGTCCTCGGGGTTGATGCCGTTGTAGACAAAGGTGTGGTTGTAATGAGGGTTCAGGGTCTTCTTCACCACGGGCGTCTTCCTCTTGGAGGCTTTGTTTTTGTGTGGCAGGAGGTAGCTGGGGGAAGCAGCCCCTTGGGTTAGCACCACGTGTGCAACTGCCATCTGCCCCAGGGGCTGGGGCACCCCAGGACCTGCTCTGGAGCCCACTTTCCCTGACACGACCCAAAAAGGGCCACAATGGTCTGCAAGGGACTGGATCTCTGCCCCGACTCCCGAAAAGCCGCTCGGCAGACTGCAGGTGGCCTAAGGAGGGGAGAGGGGCAAAGACCGCAGCCTGCTCACCCCCAGCCACGCTGCCCCGTGCCTTGGTCACCTCTGGGAAGACAATTTGATGGCAGCTGGAGCCGTGCCCTGCACGCAGCCTCCCGCTGCGACCTCTCAGCCGGCCAAAACCCAGGAGAGCATTTGCTACCAGGAGCATCTCATCTCCAGGCAGAGACAGGCAGACAACGTGGGGTACCAACGCAGGCAGCGCAGGGCGGCCAGCGGAGAGACCTACCCCTCCCCAGGGCGGCTCTGGGATGCGGCCAGGGAGGACAGTGCATTCGGGATCCACACTCACCCCTTGACAAAGCTGTCTGAGGTCCCACCAGATTTGGCAGCTGTGAGGTTCTTGGCTTCTTTGATCCAGACCTGGAGCTCACCGCCTTCCCCTGCTTTGCCTGGGGAAAAACGCAACACGGCAAAAATTAATCAACCTTAATTTCCAGCACTGCTGACTTTCTGCAAAGGTTCTGCTGAACAGCTTTCATCGCACCGGCAGGTACAGATCCCCAGCTGGTATCTCCTCCTGCCTCCTCCCTTACTGGCCCTGCCTGCTGAGGTTACAGCAGACGATTATTCCACACGATGCCCGATGGATTGGCCAGGCTGGTCCAGCCCCAGGAAAGCACTGGGACCCCTCGGCCAGCCTGAGGACAGCCAGGTCTGCCTCGACCCAGAGCAGCCTTGCAGGCGCTGCAGCGGAGAAGGCTGCAGCAGCACCACCCAAGAAACCCACCCAGACCCAGCTCCCGGGGCCGCGAACAGGTCCCACAGGCTACACAGAGATACTGGAGCTCCAGCACTCACCCTTCCTGCTGCTCCCGGCCCCAGCGTGCTTGGAAGATGGGATGTACTTCATGGAGACCACCAACTCCCCCTTGTACTGATGCAGCCCAGCGGCATCCGCCCCAATCTGCACAAAGTCAAAACTTATCAAACATGGCTAGAGAAGCCAAAACGGAGATGGTGATGGCCCGGTCTGCACGCAGCACCTCCCCTTGGTGCTCGGCTTCTCCGGGAGGTGGTTTAGCCGGCATCAATGCCTGCAGACACCCCCCCCAGCATCACCAGGTCAGATCAGACCGGCTCCTTTCGAATCCTACTTTGGCCCAATCACCTCCCTTAGGAAACCCTATTTAGGCTGCTCAAGGCCCAGCAACGCCGAGGGCTGAGCCCGCAGCACCAGTTAGTCGAGAGACCAGAACCCTTAAGCCCGGCAGCAGCATCTGCTGTTGCCGTTGAGCTGCAGGAATTCCCTCACCGCACGGCTCTGCAGCCCGCAGCCGGACGTCCCAGCCAATTTCCCCCATTTGTTTCCCTGAACTTGGCTCCAATTCCTCCCGGCCGGGAGCTGGGAAGCTCTGCGCTCTTGCAGCAATCAAGCAAGCGGAATGAAAATACCTGATGGGGCAGAGAGGTGTCCCCCTGCATCCCGTAGGGGACTTACTGAGGAGGAGCAGGGAAGCTAGGCTCAAGGCAGAAGATCTGCCCATCTTTTTTTTTTTTTTTTTTTTCCTCTGCGACAGTACTGCTTCTGGGGTCTTCATTTCTCCAAAAAAATCACTCGGCACAAGCCTTTCGGCAGCTCTCGGGTGAGTTCTCTGCGCCCCTCTGCCCACCCGCCGCAGCAGGGCCAGGCCAGGGAGGATGCCGCGGGCAGCGGGGCTGGGGTGGCAGGGCCAGCACCTTGCCGTGCAGGGGCAGAAACTCCTCCAGGTGGCTCTCAAAGTTCCAGGCGTCCAGCGGGACCTCCACCTCCCCCAGGAAGGTGTTGCGGCCAAAGCGATCGTGGTGCCAGACGGAGAACTGCAGCGTCCTCGCAAGCAGGAGGGACTTGTTAATCTCGTACTAGGAAAAGAGACAGGCAAACCACCAGTGAGCGAGCAGCGCCAGGCTTGGCATACGCCATCAGCCACAGCTCTGGAGCAGGAGAGGAGACAGGTTTGAGGAGCAATGGACGCATGCAGGAGACTGTCTTCCTTTCCAAGCCTGCCAAAACCTCAAAGCCCTGGGGCAGCGGTCCAGGAGCCCGTGCTCTCCAGACAAGTGGTCCTCAGAGCCCGCGCAGAGCCAGGACCAGGACACATGGCATCCGGCCACCCCACCCCATGCCACCACAAGCGAAGCTCTGCCAGCTCACTGAACCTCAGGTGGTGAGGGCGAGAGAGCTCAGCAAACCCGGGGCTGTGGGAGCCTGGAAACCCAACCACAGCTCCCACTTCCCTCCTGCCTGGAGAGCGCCTGGCCTCAGCGACGCGCTGCCGGGCTCGGGGAAGAAGCCAGCCCTTCCCACCACCCCGTGGTGGCCGCAGTGGCGACTGTGAAGGGCAGCGCCAAAGTGCTTCTGCCCTGTGGCCCAGAACTGCCTTATCTCTGCCTCTGCAGCCGTGTTCTCTGCCCTCCTGCCAGCGCACCCTGCCTGCAATGGCCCAGGAGCCTTCTCCACGGAAAGCAACGTCCAGGCTAAGCAGAAGGTCCCAGCGCTGGGGGATGCCGCAGGAGCCAGGAACACGGGCTGTGACACACACACACATCTGCAGCTGTGCATCCCCCCTGGGCACCCGGGGCTGGACACCGCAGCCACGTCGGGACAGCGACCCAGCCTGGGGGTGGGTTTTTCCAGCTTGTCGGGTGTAGCGTCTGCTCGTGGGACCTCTGCAGAGCCCCCACCTCAGGGCCTGGAGTCCATCCCTCCCCTGGTTTGTTCCAGCAGCATCCCCAGGGCCGAGCGCCTGCCCGGCCCCGCAGCGGGGAGCAGGCTGCGCCCCAGCCCATCCCTGCCCACCTTCAGCAGCTCGTTGTACAGGGGGTTGATGGTGTTGCGTTTGATGGTCGTCTTGCGTTTCCCTTGCCGGGATTTGTCGGGCAGGAGGTAGGTCTTCACGTACCTGAAGGGAAGAGCAGGCAGCATTTCACCAGCCTCCCCACAACCAGCCCCCCGAGCCCCCCAGGGCAAGCCCAGACCTCCTGCCTGGCCAAGACCCCCCCCACTTATAGCTCCCATCTCTGGTGGGCACCCCACAACCCAGCTGAGCACCACAAGCAGTGCCAGCAGTCATCGCCCCCCCCAGCTCTCACGGGTTGGAGCGCTTCTTGCCCTCGTCCCCGTAGGCCAGCTGGCGACACTCCTTCACGTGAATGAACAAGGTCTGCGTCTTCTGCTCGTAGCTCAGGGAGAAGGAGATTCCCCCGGTGACCGCAACGTTGCCGAAGTCGCCGGCCTCGCTGTAAATGCTGACCATGCTCCCCAGCGTGCTCTGGAAGACACGGCAGGGGCTGAGGGGGGGCAGCATCACTTGACGGTCCCCTCTTCATCCTCAGCAAGGCTACTGGCCGTGCCTCCTCCGCACAGCCCCTCTCACCTGCTCTGTGGTTGGGGACGGCCGCCCGGTGCCTCCCACCCGCACGCAGGCTCCCTGCACCAGAGCTGGGTCTCCGTGTTTCAAATCCCTTGAAGGGGAGGAAGCCCCCTCACCCCAAACTCTTGCCACCACGACCCAGGAGCTGCCCGCCCTGCCTCCCTCCCACCCAACCCTTCGGCACCGCCCTTCTCCATCGTTTCTTCCCACGGAGCACGGCCACGCCGCGGGGACTCACCGAGGAGGTGCCGCTGCGCATGCTGCCCC